TCGTCCCCGCTCTCTTCGTCGTCTTCGTCGCAATCAAGTTCTTCCTCATTGTTGAGCATGGAGTCGTCACCGCCGCCGCCGGTCTCGGTAGAGAAGTCACCACCGCCGCCACCCGTCATGGTAGAGTTGTTGCTATCCATGTTGCTGTTGTCATTACTGTTGCTGTTGCTGTTGGCATTGCTGTTGCTGTTGGCATTGCTGTTGCTGTCGCTGTTGCTGTTGGCATTGCTGTTGCTGCTGTTGTTGCTGTTGGCATTGCTGTTGCTGTTGTTGTTGCTGTTGGCATTGCTGTTGCTGTTGTTGTTGCTGTTGGCGTTGCTGTTGCTGTTGTTGTTGCTGTTGGTGTTGCTGTTGCTGTTGCTGTTGCTGTTGCTGTTGCTGTTGCTGTTGCTGTTGCTGTTGCTGTTGCTGTTGCTATCATCCAGATCCAGACCACTATTCGGACCGTCAAGGTCGTCGTCACAGTCAAAATCATCATCATTGCCAGCCGTGGAGGAGTCATTGCCGCCGCCAGTATTGGTGGAGGAGTTGTCGCCGTTGCCGTTGCCGGTCTGGGAGGAGGAGTTGCCAGTCATAGACTTGGCCTGCTTTTCCAGAGCCTCCTGATCCTGAGTCTGCTGATCCTCCGGCTGCTGGTTATGACGAGCCTGAATATTGTTGCCAGACTGACCCTCATCCAAGCCGGGACATTTCTCCTCGACAGTTTCCGTCAACTTATCATAGGGCGATGGGTAAGTCCAGATCAAGTCAAACCTAACACGCAGACCAATTAGCCTTGACGTTCAATCACGAAGAGAAAGAAAGAAAGTAAGTAAAACGGCCTAGATCCACACACCTATCATCAGGGTATGTCTCGGCGTTCTCATCACCCAACGCCTTGGCGAGCTCCGTCAACGCACTATGCTGCCAGGAGATCAAGATATTGCCGTCGCCCTTGTAGCCCTCAACGAGAGACTTGACACAGGCGGCATCATCTCTATCACAGGACGTGTCGACCTTAAGACCCAAGTCCTGAGCGAGCGGCTCGACGGTGTCACGGGGGCGCGCTCGATGGCCATCTGATGCTTGGTCAGTCACATGGGATCACAGAAGACACAACAAGGGGGTAAAAATAATGACACATACCGTCCTTAGGAGTCATAGCCAGGATCTGTCCGATCTTGTACTCGGAGTTCTTGCCGAAGATATTCCGGAGACACTCGGCGCGGTCTTCGCCCTCAGAGCTAAGACCAACGCCACCATCGCTGGGCTTCTCGCCATGGCGGATGAAGTAGACGGTAGGCGCGCCAGAGCCAGAGCCAGAGCCAGACCCGGAGTTCACAGTATTAGGACACGTCAGCGGCAAAGCCGTAGCCAGGCCGCTAGCCAGCGCCAGGGACAAGACCTGGTGAGTATACATGGCTCGGTGAGTCTTGCGCGCACCGGCACGACAGATGGGTAAGTAAAGTTGTAGACGAAGAGAAGTCAAGTAAAATGAGCCAGATACAGGCTCCAACACAATAGTAGTAAGTATGACCGATGGCAATTAGAGACTCATCAGAGCGATTCAAACACCCTCTTTATACCTTTTTCACTGAATCCTCACCGCGCGTCTTTTCATCCTGCCCGCGCGCGCCCCCTCTTCAAAGGATCCGGTGGCTGAGCCAGGAATTGAATTCTTTACTATAGAGGATTCCCATCGGGAGATACTGTAGTCCCCTGCTCCGTCCGCATATTCCTGCTCCATCCGCATATTCCTGCGCCGGGCCGGGGCAGCGTTAGGCGGATGCAGATCATCGTCAGGGACGGGTCTGATAGGAGAGCAAGAAGACTTTGGGACTAATTTCATCAGTGGCGCCCCGCATCTTTGGATGGATCCTTCTTCCGTGGGAGGATCGTACGGGGGTTCTTCCTGTTGGAATTGTATTCTGGGTTGGCTTCCTTTCACAATTCAAGAGATGTTGCCATGGTATGTATCAATCGTGGGAGAAATGAATGCCGATGGAGATTGTCATAATAGTGATGGATTCAATGATATTCTTGCGCAAGAGAGATGTATGAAAGATTGCAGATTGTGTGAAGGATTCAAACACAAACGGCACAAGGAAAAAGCCCCCAGATCAGCTGACCCATCGACATATACACCTTTCCCATCTCCCCCAAATGATAACCAAAGCAACTACCAAACAAGTTTCATCCCCCACAGGGCAAATCCTGCCCCATCCAAGAACAAGCATCCCCATCCAACACAATCGTCACATCAATGCAGGTACCAACCGACCCGTACGTATAACTAACAGGTTTGTTCACCATACTACGCCTACTAGTGCAAACCGGAGCATTCGGCCCCCACCGGGCGCCAGAACCGGCAGTGGAGCTTTTTGTCGTCCGAGGGGCCGAAATTGGGGGGTTTGATATTTGTTTGTCTTTGGATATTGCATTTGATAAGGTGAAGATGCCAAGGACTCTACGTGGCGTGTATGTGTTCTATACCGAGGCAGCTTTACATTTTGGTTGTGTTGGAATGGAATGGGAGACTATTCGAGGTTGTACACCTTTTACCGCTAGATACCCTAACTGATTGATTACAGCCCAAGTTTAGGGGGGGGGGAAAGAAAAGGATGAGATGAATAAATCACTATTACCATTATCATAGATACAGGCATCTATATAAATGCCCGGTAACCCTAATAAGTATACTATACCCTATCCAATCCAACACAGCGAGACAACAATAACACAGAAGAGAAGGGAAAGAAAAACAGAAATATTAAAGATAAAAACAAACAAGAAATAGAGAAAACAAAACCAAAAAATCAAAACATTCAACAAATTCACGGGCGCCCAAGCTATGCGCGTATATCAAGTCAATCAGCATACACCCTTTCAGGTGTGCCCTGTTGAACTCAAATTCAAATCAAAAGTCAAAAGTCAAAATCAAGTGTCAAATCAAACCAAAACAAACCAAACCAAAACAAAACAATCAATATCCCGTTTTAATCACCGTCGCCACACCAGATGTGAAGTGAAGTGCCCAGTTGGTATTTCCCCCGTCCTGCGAAGTAGAAAAGGATTGACTGCAGCGCCGTGCTATGCCATGCCAAGGTAATAATACAGTTCTCGTAAAGGAGTGGAATCCCAATGCCCCGCTGATAAAAATGCAAGCCGAAAAGGAACGGACAACGTATCTATAATGCGTCATGAAAAGAAAAACAAAAAAACAAGCAATAAATCAAATAATGCGGGGGCATCAAGACGTGATGATATCAAAGGAGAGACGTTGCAATCGTTGGAAAATGCTAAGTCTCCACGGTCGAATGAGGATTGGGCTGACCTAGCCAGAACGATGAGAAGGAGTGGCGGGAGCGACGATATTGGAATATAAAATAGAGATGACGCCGGTAGATGCAAGGTGGGCTCTGGTTGGAACTCAGAGCTCAGGGCCCGTGGGAGGGGTCGGACAGAGAATACGGCATCGGACCCATGTAGCTATAGCAAGAGCCGTTGCTAGGGGGCGCGCTGGCCGCGTTGTTCATCAGATGGCTGAGCTCCCATCCCCGGCTGATGGGAGCAGTGAGACCCAGATGGCTTTGCTGTTGACAGACCGTCGGGTAGGAGTATGACGGGGTCATCTGGTGGTAGGGTTGGCTGATGGCGGGGAGCACCGAGCGCAGTTCGGGAACCGACATGGGCGGTCCGCTGTGATCGGCGGAGGAGTAAGCAGTCATGCTGGGGCCGTAGGCACAAGACGCAGACGTGTCCGAGACCGATTGAGGAGAGGGTGCAGTGTGCGCTTCGGTGCCGGAATCCGAGGCAGCCCCGTTGCTCGCATAGGTCGAGCCGATTGGCGTGGGGAGGGCACCAGCCGTCGAAGAGTAACTGGCCGACTACATTTCAGAGGTTAGTAAGGTTTTTCTAATTGCAATCCTATGTATGAGGGCCACTCACGTATTTGCCAATAATCTTCTTCAAAGCATGGCTGAGAATCTTCCAGGGGAACACTTTGACGTCCTTCTCGATATTGCGAGGCTTGGGGGCGGGGAACCCCATGATGGTCTTGAAAAAGTCTTCGCTATCGGCCTTGGCTTTGGACACGGTAAGCGGGCGGAATCCTTCGAGATTGCGACGGATGCGGTTCTTCTCCTCCACGGTAAAGCGAACCCCAACGAGAGATTCGAGCAGATAGATGGTGTCGACACTGGTGACGAAGCACTCATCTTTCCCATCCCAGTAGATGCAGCTGATGCAGATACTGTTCGGGGTTCGGTCTTCGGGAGACACAGGCTTGAAGTCTGCGTGGATGGTACTCCCGCTCTGCATGCGTGTGAACTGGACCAGGCGGCGCTTGGTCTCCAGCTCTTCCTTCGACCATTTCTCCGTCATGGAATTCAGATCTCCGTTCAACTTCAACACCGCCTTCGACGGATACATCGCATAGGGATTGAACGACTGCGGCGGAGCGATGCCTCCGGACTGCTGAAGCGTCGAAGTACGGATGAGCGTAGGGTTCTTGCCCTGCCCGGGAGACGACGGCTTCGTTTGACGGAAGCTGTGGTTGGCCATATAGCCGTGGGCCCGCGAATCCGGAGCGACCGAGACGAACGAGGGGCTCCAGGACGGTGTGAGCGGGGATGGCGCGCGAATTGACGACTGCGATGCAGACGACACAATCCGCGGCGAGCCCGCCTGATAAGGGTTCACGAATCCATTCGCAGCGGGAAGAGACTGCAGATAGGGGGAGTAGGAGGCCGTAGGATACCCCACCGACTGCTCTCGTGGCTGAACGGGCTGGGCAGTGAGTCTCTTCGTAGGCCGAGGACCCGTGTCTTCCATGCTGGACACCCTTCTCTTCCGGGAGTCGCTGGACGGCGACGGATGAGGCGAGTGCTCATACGAATAATAGCCCACCTGCAGTGTAGTGGAAGGGCACTCGTTTTGGCCATCCATGACCACCTGGAGACAGACGGTCGGCGACGGAGATCCCGTGGCCATGAAAGCGGGACTGTCCACGGAAAGCGCGTATTGAAAAGTCGAACCCTGGAACCCCAAGAAATGGGGGACACACTCGCACTTCTTGGAGCCGAACGCCAAATAGAGGGTTGTGTAGGACGAGGTATGAAGATCGTAGGGCGACTGGACCCGCACGGACACCCTGGTTCCTTCGTAGCCCCGCTGGGGGGAGTAGGAGATGACTTCAGGCAATTGGCGCGGCTCTCCGCCCACGACAGGAGAGCGACCCCCCTCGTAGGAGCTCGCGTAGTCCGGGTTCCCCATGTACGGGACACAGTCGGAGATCTGGCTGGCCTGGTCGGCCATCGGCGACGGGACCATCGGCGCAGGCGTTACATAGGATCCCTGGCCGTAGCTGGAATAAGAAGCACCATCCTGCAATGATCGAGCGGAATCGTAGTCTACGCGAGATTCATTAGCACCCACTCTGCTGTCTCGGAGGATATCAGCCTCGTTGGGCCCGAGACTTCCTGGGGCAAAACACTTACCAAGAAAGGCCGTCTGTGGAGGTTTCTGGAAAGTAGACATGGACAGGATGGGTTCAGACTTGGCCAGCAGGCCGTCTGACAGCGCACCGATGTATTGCGACTCTTCAGGGTCCGAGAAGTCGAAAGAATCCCCTAAAATTACCGGCGTTTGAAAGTCGGGATCAAACTGTCAAGTCGACGTGTCAGCAAGGGGTCAGATTCTGGTTCACTGGTTCAGAGGATAGGGTCGAGGAGCACCTCCGCGAGACAGGAATTGAATCACCAATTTCAAATCTAACGGGCAGTGTGGTAGGCAAGAGAACGAGAAGAGGAACCGTGGGTATCAGAGGAGAGACAAGACAACGAGCGTGGACGTACCAAAACACCGTGTTCCTTCGAGTAAGCCAGTTTGAAGGTGTTGCAGCAACTGCAACGAAAAAAACAGCCGAAAGAAGCGAGTGACAGCGAATTTATTCTGGGAAAACGACTGGACGTCGGAGGGCGAGCAAACTGCACTCCGAGACAAAAACGAGCGACGACACGAAGCGGATTTCAGGCGTAACAAAAGACCGCCAGAACGGACTTCGAATGAACGACCAGCTTTCCACAAGGAATACTGAGACCGTCAATGGCTAGCTGCAGAATAGGACCAACAGGCACGCCACGCTGCCGGAAGCTGCTACGAGAGTAGAAAAAAAAGAGAAAGACCACCTATCGGGGAACCGCGTCCACGTCCAGACGATCTGGTCTGCTTCCAATCGGAGGTCAGGCCGGACGGAACAATGCCCAATATCCGGATGAAGGTCTCAAGCCTCCGTAGTAAGTTGATCCGATGGGAAGAGAGACAGGAGGGTTCCGTTGTCTCTGGTCCAAGGTTCTCAAATCAGGTTCGCTGACGACTAGCCTCGTAAAGCTGAAGCAGTCAGGCGATAGGCTATCGAACTTGTCAGTACGACCCTCCCAAAGTGAAGAAAGCGGACGGTTGGTTGCAGAGGAGCGCAAGGCTTACCCACGAAGTAGAAGGAGGAGAAGACGGAGAAGAAAAAGGACGGCAGATGAAGGAAATTAAAGATCCTAATTCCGTTGCTGAGGCCTCCGGAGGGCTAATATGCAAAATGCGCGGGCAAATAAACGACTGACGATAGCACCTTCGCCATGACAATGTCAACAACAAACAGTCAATTTCCGATGATGATGACCACAGGGGGAAATGACAAGCGCATGGGGTCCATCGTGGGCCCTAATTTCCCTAATTTCCCTGGGCGGTTTGCGCACCAGAGGCACGACCCGGGCAATGCAAGGAGGGCAGCGCACAGGGGACAAGAAGGGCGCCGATGCAAGGCATCGCAGGAGAAGTGGCGAAAGGGAGAATCATGCTCACCTTCGCTAGCCAATAAGTCCAGATGACCCAGACGATTCCCGTTCCTCCCAGGGTCCTGGTTCAAGACGTGAAATGAAGTGGTGTGCGCAGCCGAGACAATGATCCACGATGTTCAGGGTCCAGGTCCAACCTGATTGAATGATATCCCCAAATTGGCAGATATATTGGCTGGAAGGGTCCACTTGCTGATCGGATGGGGCGGAGAGGGAGACGAGATGCGAGGGAATGATCAGACTGGCGCCCTTTCTTTACTTTCCGTTTCGACGGTCGTGGTTGAGATGTGAAAGTGGACTTCCCGTTGGGCAAACGAGTTTTGCGGGGACCTCTCTACAAGTCGCCGTATCAGACCCGACAAACGACACTCCACAGGGGTGGGTTAATCGATCGGAACGATCTTCTCGGAAAACTCGTACGCTTCTCTTCTTCGAGGTGATCTGCGATGGTCGAATTTCTTCTTGTCGGGTTGGCGCAGGATCGGTATCTAGACAAAACAATAACGAAGGTATGTCGAAGGATCAACGAACGTAGGATCTCCGTGAGTATCAAAGGTTTGGATGATCGAATTAATCGTATCCAAAGTTTCTTTTCTTTCTTCTTTTTGTTTTCCCTTTTTTCTTTTTTCCTTTTTTTTTTGGAAAATTAAATAATCAAGTTTACTCTTTCGTAATTCCAGGTTCTCAAACTTGATCAACCGTAGCGAACGTGAACCGTCAAAGCCAAGACAAAGCGAGTGTGAGGCCGAACGTCAGATGAGCGAGTGTATGGTAGAAGAAAAAAAGGGAAAAGAGGGGGGGATGAAAATTATTGTATGATACAAGATGCCATACCAAACGAGGTGTCAGATCAGAGGGAGGGGAAGAGGAGGGGAGAGGAGGGGAGAGCAGAAGTAGAAGTGAGTAAGTAGAAGTAGTAGTGGTAGAGTAAGTAGGCAAGGCGTGGTGATCACGTTGGCCGGGAAAAGAGAAGGATTTAAAAAAAGAAATAGAATAGAGGAAAGGAAAATAAAACCAGAGAATGGAAAAAATAAGAAGGAACAAAAAAAAAAAAAAAATAGGAAAGAAAAAGTACCCAAGAGTTATATCTGGATGACGAGAGATATATTATTTTTTCATTATTATAATTCCGATTATTATTATTCCTTACTCTCAGCACTAAGGCCGAGGAGATGTTTGGTCTAGTGTGGCGGGGATACAAGAGGCATGAATCGAGTCTTCTTGCTAGAAGGCAGTAGGTAGGAAGAGGTTAGTTCACTTTATCCAGTAGGTCCATCCAGAGGAAAATACAACTGGAAATGGAAAACAGGGACAAGCTTATGCACATTACACAGGGTCTGTCAATACCTGAGGAAGTCCCTGACCTACACAGGTATATGGCAGATGATTATGCCTGGACATACTATGATACTACCTTCTGTTTCTATCTTTGTTTAGTATTTGTTAGTATTGGAATCGGAACGATTGTCGAGTTCATCACCCATGCGCTTCGACCAATCGATCCAACTTCCCCCGATTTCCACACCCTGACAGATTATGGGCCGACCTACCGTGATGGAGCCCTGATGGAGGAACAATGGCTGGTTGGTGCTTCGATTGATCCGCTTGTAGATGGTCATCCTCCACATCTCAACCGTTACTGACCTGTCCTTGGAACCTTTTTTTCTTCTATTTTTCTCTATTTATTTTTATAATTTCTTTCAACCGAGTAAAGTCACTAGTTATTCTTAGTCTCAGTCTCATTGTTGGCCTCGTTTATTTTCTTTCAACACTTCACCGTAGTTTACCTTTCCCATAGATAAACATGGGAGGGTGGGAAAATATCTCCCTCTGGTAAAAACCATGGGAGGCAAAAAAAAAAAAGTGGAGGGATTACTTAGGAGCGATCGGTTGTTTTGACTATGGAGAGAACCAGACACTGAGATAATAGCATCACTCCTATGAGAAAAAAAATAAAATAAAATAAAAAAATAAAAAAAGAGGGATTATAATGGCTACCAATAATGGAATGGGTTATTTCCATCCACCGACTAAACCCAAGTGGGAATAGGAACAGGTGACAGTCTGGAAGCAAAGAATGAAGCAGACATCATTCGGGCGGTCGGCGCCGCTTGAACTTGGTGGATCCTCGCATGGAAATAATTAATGGATAAAATAGCATAGAATAGGAAATCAAGGCTGCAGAGAGAGAGGAAGAAGAAAAGATGGTTGGACTGTGGTTTGACATGACATGAACATTCTCCCACTCAGCCAGTGGAATGACCTGCTGGTCGCCTTGATTCTTCGTGGTTGCGGTAAAAATAACCCTGGCCCAATGGAAGGTGGCCATGGATGGGCTATTTTGGTCTTATCGACCACTGCACCCTCAGTCCAGTCCTATTCAGGGCTTTTTTCCCTTCCATTTGGTTCTTTTCCTTCACAGAATCTCTCCTTGCCCTTTTCCATCTTCCATCTTCCATCTTTCCATGCTCGGGTCCTAAAACCAAGCAGGTGACTTGTGCAGTAGACTGACACTATAGCCAAATAGGAAGAGTCCTATTCCCTATCGGTACGCCAGCATCCACCGATAATAATAACAACAACAGCAAGAGCAACAGCAACAATAAAAATAATCATAATCCTCATGAATAGAGAGTCCAGACAAATCTGTCCTCAGACCATGACCAACCTCCTTACCACTGACCACAGTAGCTGAGCCCGGTTGACAGAGTATTACCCGATTAGGGGACTCGTGCTTGACGAAGGTCCGTTCCATGTCACTCTGGAATATGTCAACATCCTGGTCTAGGACAAGATTGTACTTGCGGTAGCATGAGCAAGAGAAAAAAAAAAAAAAAAAAAAAAAACCTTTGCACAGCCTCTCTTCGCTCCCCCTCCCCCAGGGATTCTACCCAAAAGGTGCAGGTCTTTTGCTGTTTTTTTTTTTTTTCTTTTCTTTTCTTTTTCCATCCATGCCGCAGCCACGGTGCATGATTCGCTTCGACCCACGGGGTTAAGCACCAATCGGATTGTAAATGGGTACTAACTCCAGACTCTGGGATGGATGACAGAGGGGTCCGCCGGAGGCACAGTGCCTAGGAAGTACGGAGTATACTACTGTATGTTCAAGTCACAGTAGCCCTGCTTAGAGTCTGACTACTGACTTGACTAGTGGGGAAGCGAAGTATTCCGGGCACCTCAAGGTCCGACTGTCAGTCCGGATGAGAGGTGCCGTTCTAGCGCTGGCCCGAGCTGCCGGCCAGTCGAGCTTGGAGCCTGAGGCCTGGGTGGATACTGGACAGAAATACAAATAAAAACATCACTGATAAATGGACAAAATGAGCCGGTACGGTTAAGCCGTGGCATAATAGGATATCAAGCTACAATCCTAGATATACATAAATTAATAATTCCCAAGTTATGATATGATAATCCCATGATTCTGTTATTTTTCCCTCTGGTATCCGTATTTTCTTATGGTCTCCACTCCCTTTCCCAGACCCAGCCGACACTAATCCCCATCAGGCCATAATCATGTCTGCCTGATTCTTATTTTTGGCATCCTGAGGAAGAAACTTCTGCGGGCTCCTTTGTTCCCCCAAGGGCCTTTACCCCATTTGAGTGTCTGCTCCGTCCAAACACAGAGAAGTCAGGTAAACTCTGTCTCCAGCCTCCACTTTCCAGCCTTCAGCAGTCCCACCCATCTCGTGTCGTGAATAGAGAGAGAGAGAGAGAGAGAGAGAGAGAGAGAGAGAGAGAGAGAGAGGCCTGAGCTCTCCTCTACTGGTTGAGACTGATTTTCCAGAAGGCGCTCTGGAATGTGGATGTTCGGTGGAGGTCATTTTTGCGATCGGACGTTGATACATCATACTGGCTGTCAGAGACCCTTGCCCGAAGTAACGGTTTCCGTTGTCGCTGGAGAGAGACCGCACTACAGGGATGGATGATGGCTGGATGATTGATGGATGGAGGCCTCTAGCTTCAATTGACATTGACTGATTGACAGACAACCTTCGACCCACGGCGATCTAAGGAAACCACAACCGCATCTTGGCTTGGGTGAACGACGGTGGGTACTGAGTATTCCACTCCGTTTTTATCCACTTTCTGGCGTATTTCCTTCCCATTGGAATGTAGACAGAAATTTTATTACAATATATATATATATATAAAATTTACAACACATAAAATAAAACCAAAAGAAATAGAAAAAGAAGAAGAGATATATCGACATTTCTGCCATCTAATCCAGGCAATAACAGCCGACTTAGCAAGAAAGTTTAATCCCTTCTTTATGCTGGACGCCGCCCAAATACGATCCCAACACGAGCATCGGCGTCCCGCCCGTTCCAACCGGCCACAGAATAGACCAGATGCACTCCGCGCTGCAGTGCGCTGTGCTGGGCCTCGGGAAGAACCCACGGTCGAATCCAACCAACAGGTGACCTCCGTATCACAGGGAATATGGATGCTCGGCCTTCTTACCGGTGGACTTCTCACCTACTAGCCTTGTTCACTCCAGGATGGGTCCAATCAGCTACCTCGGCTGAGATGGCCCCCTCGCATTGGGACCTACCTAGGCTAGCGGAGGTAAGGGTGTGTGTAGTGGTAGGTTGATATTCGGCAGTTAAACAACTGCTAGCTGCTCGTGGCCTTGTCCGTGGTAACGGGGATAATCTAGAGGAATCAAATTATACTCTGAAGTTCGAACATGGGCACATCACTCGTGCCGCACCAATTGTCCCTCCTAGGCTCCTACCCACCTAGTTAGTACCTACTTCCTAGACCTACATAGCGGGCGATCTAACATTGCTAAACATAGCCGGGTCCAGCATTGGCTATCCATATGCAAGACCTTCCAGTTCTCATTGGCCAGAACCAGGTACAGGGGTGGAGAGAAACCCCTCACTGGCACTGCACCTATCTTCGGAATCCCATCGTCGAAAACCATTTTGGATTCGTTGAATCCATCTAGAGAATAGAGGGGGGTGGGAGCGTCTTGTGATTCGTCGCAATACAATGAGATGCATTGCCGGGCCTACAGTAACCTGGGGGTTCCCGTCAGGTGGTAGTAGACTTAGGGTCACTCTGCACTGTCACCACACCTTTTTTTTTTTTTTCCAACACGAGCTAGTAGTTATGGAGTGGTAGCTTCGTCCGCAGTTTGTATGTGTGTTGCTCGGATTATTTATTTTTAAATTATGCAACCCACGAGTTGGGAGGACAGGGATGGGTCTGGTAGGACTGGGACTATGATGCGGTGGCACAGGGTATATACAAGAGTGATAATAGTAGGGCTAGACGTACTGATGAAGTCATTCTCTTCGGAAGTGAACAATTGCCACATCTTTCCCTTAATATTGCTCATGCTATTGCTATGTGGTCATGATGACCAGTTGAGAGATGATAGGAAAAAATACATAATAAAAAGAAAACATAGCAAGGATCCAACACCGAAGAAAAAGGTAAAGCAGGGCGCTGATCCTTGCGGGAGCGACAGGATAGGATAGGATCAGATCAACCTCCCTCACAGCAGTTAGGTAATCTGGTCTTCTTTGCGGGATGGACTCCAGTGGGTTCCAGTGGAGGCCAATCCATCATGGAGGATACGCATCGGCAGGGACCAATGATCAACCTATGCCCGAGTCAAGGGAGGGTGAAGGAATAGCGATACCCCACTCTTCAGCTTCCATGCTCCAACAATGAATTATTGTAGTATTTCCGAGTTTATACGGAGCACGGAGTAGTTTGGGTAGAGTTAATTTTTATTGACATTTTCTCTCGTCTTCTTTTTACTTCTTTACACCGAGTCAAGAAGTAGGTTCAAGATCGGAAGGCCGAGGTACACTATATTAGGTAGTTTCCATAGTCCGGAGTACTCCGTAGATACTAGCCCTTCTCTGTGGTCTGCAGACGAGTTAACGATCGGTTGCATTACCGACCCTACACGATCAGCAAGTTTTTTCTAGTCTCTTCATAGTAAGAGTAACGTAGTAAGTACGTAGTGTATACCAAGCGTGGCGGAGTTGACAGACTGCTTGGCTTAGTCTGTCCAATTCGGCTGGCACCGCCCGATGGATTTGAGCTTGGTTATGGAAGTTGGCCGTTCGGCCGTTTATCCTGGACCGAATTGACCTCCTAAACTGTACCTGGTTGTACCACGTTTTGATCTCAACTGGGCAGGGGTTAGGTTTGGAGTCCTTCAATAACATTCAATAATCAATTATGGATATTCACTTCTTTCTTTTCCCCTTTTTTTTCTCCTTTTACTCCTCGTTTCGATAAGAATTACTATTAGTTAACCATCCAACTAGTGTCCAAGAAAGATTGTACTATAGAATAGCATCGGATCGGCGAATGCTCGGGAAGGAAATCTACCCGACACCCGTGACCCCGTGGGCCCTAACAAACCAATTCGCCCTCGCCACCGTCGTCAAGACCAGACAGACCTTGATTTTCCTTCCCTCGCCCGACGCCAGGGTAAAAAAAACCCCCATTAATCCCATTCCAGTCTAGTTCAGACCATTAACCTCTAACCCCCGGTCCAGCACTAGGAGCTCTAGTTAGCCAAGTGGATTGTCGATGGAACTGTGGAATTATGGATCCCATGAGTCTGATCATTCCCGAAGGTATCGGCTACTCGATTCGGTTTAGGTCACGGAGATGTCCAGCTGAATCGGTCAGTTACCATGATTTTGGAGTTTGCTCCGTGACGAGCCGTTCGGACAAATTCCGCGGTGGATATATTCCTTATGCATTGATCTATTACTTAATTCGTGATCCGATATTGATTGATGGTAGATGGTATGATGGTTATCCACGTGTGGGTAAGTGGGTGGGGTTGGCGAGGCAGTGGTCAACGATGTAGGTAGGTAATTATGTACCAGGTAGGGACGGGCAGCTGGCACCCACGTTTTTCAGCGGCGAGCAGAAATGAAACCGGGCATGGGCTATACACCGGAGTCGCTCGTTCCGAAGGTTAGTCTGGGTTAGGTAGACAGGCAGCCAGGAGTTGATTATCCGGCAGGGGAATCCGAGACGACGAGGTCAATTTTCCGGGACGTGCGGAGGGCAGACGGAGTACATACTGTACATAGACTCGGGTACCTACTTTTGTGCATCTGCCTGCGTTTCGCCTGTGGATGGATGGACCGAGGTCTCTCGTTTGTCTTTATTTTGGTTACTGATCTTGCCATTAGGAGTATTCTTGTTGATTAGAGTTAGGACTGTGTGTCGAGCCCCGAATGAGATAAACCTTGCTGCCTATCTAGCTTAACGCTCGAGGCAACTTATCGGTTGAGATTAAGAAAAATCCCCCTTGCATATCGCATCCACACAAGGGATTCGATAGAAATCTCAATAAAATATAGCTTTCAGATAAAGACATGCAAGAAATCAAATCAATCAAAAAAAATTTAATCTGTTGATTAATAAATGAGTGAAGAATGAAATTTAATTAAACAACCCTCGCAGGGTCTCAACGCCCTCCACCCACAGTGCGCAATCTTTAATCTTGAACGTGACCATGTGAGATTACTCCGGAGCAGATTGTGTGACTTGTGCATTGTCTGCCTGCCTGCCTTTTGTTACAGCGCATCGCATCGCATTGCACCCCACTGTATGCGCATGCACAGAGAAAGCAGGGCAGGAGGATAGATAGGCAGTCTATGCACGAAAAACATACGGCTCGCAGGAAGGATTTGATCCCTCCCCCACGATAATAACTGGCGGTTGTCTCCAACTATAGTACTTCTGAAAGGTACAGAGGTACTAACATGTGCTGTCCGGACTATGAGTCTATTGGTGCGAAGGCGATATGCTTCCAGAATACTTATTAACAAGGTCCTACAACTCCCCACTTCTTGCCCCGTTCTGATCGGCACGTTTTGGGGGGGGGGCTGGGGGAGGGGGATGGGATTGGGAGATTGGGCGGTTGTCGATCAGTTTACTATCGCCGATGGAGACATGTCGCTGTTTCGTTCATCCTGGACGCATCCTGGTTGTTTATTTTTTGTTTTGTTGGTTCGGTACTTTCTCTGGTCGATTCACATGCTGGGATACCACTAGGTGTTGTACGTTTGATCCCATCGAGGTACTATAGATCCATGTCTCCAACCGTCATATTCGGAAATGAAGACCGTTAGAGTAACCCGTGTCTACTTACAATTGTACCATAAAATCCAACGACCGACTCCGCTATTGATCGCCCCCAGAAAATCAATCCACGACAGCCCGCGCTAAACTAAACCCAACCCTGGGGCCACGCCGCCGCATTCAAGCAATGTATCGAAAACCGCAACTGTCTCACCATCTCAAGCTACCTACCTAATCGACCAAGGACGCAGCACACGGCAATCTCCTCCGCCCCCTTCCCCCTTCCGCTTCCTTCTCCAATGATATTTCGTTTCATTCCCGAAATCCATTTAATGTGACGGGGGTACTGGGAAGGGTACTGCTCGATCGTCGTCGCTAGTCACTATCTGGGTATAGTATAGTCGAACCGGCTCCGCGTCACCGCGCCGATCGCTCAGCTTTGCTTGTGCTGCTGCTGCGCTGCGCTGCAGATACGAACGGATCAACGGCGTTGTATCATCTATCATCAACAGGGGGCTAATCAAGTTGGTTGATTTTGCTATGTGGTATGCAACGATGCTGTGCATCGGGTCGATCTGGGCTTTTTTGCTGCGTGACGCTCGTCGATCATTTCTTGGGCTCTTGGTTGGTTAGTATGGGATGACTTCTCTCTTCTAGTATCTTTGAGGGATATATGCTATCATGGACTTAGCAAAATAAAACCCATCAAAGATGAAAACCCTGTCCTAACCCGTTCTTCAAGGTCGCAACACTGCGATATTATGGCGCCATTAGTCGGCGAGCAAGCGAATTGCTTCTTCCCTGCAAGTGATCAACAACAGTAACAACGGTGATATACATAAGTTTACGGCAATAGCCTTACTAAACTAAAAGGAAACGGGAGACAAGAAAGTCAAATAGACAAGTACAACGTGGATGGGCAGAATGAGATTTTAACAAACGTGACGTCAGACGCGGGCTGTCTGTCTATCTGTCTGTTTGCTCGGACACATATGGTACATGATTTATGGTATTTAGTGGAGATTAGAAGTAGCTGTTGTGGGATTGCATCGTACTCTGTAATAGATATATCCTGTGTTTGCTTCATGACTTGGTAAATGTTTCTAGGACTCGATCTTTGGTGATATATATAGTAGCTTCGTGGGCTACCCACACCATTTTATGTGGATGGTTCATCGGGGATCCCAGCTGATTATTCTTTTATTCTCGCATCTAGATCATATGATTTTATAAATATAAGGTGTTGGAGCAATGAACATATATAATGAATTGTTTTATTATATCTCCTTTCTGTCGTTTCCGTTTTGGGGTAATGATGCTTCAGCGATAGTACTATTAACCAGGTGTCGGGAAGAAAAATCAGAATTTTTTTTGAGGTATGAGCATTATCTTCGAAATATATATATAGAAGCATGTCTCTATAACAGGGACGACCTCCAATTTTACCCCAGTAGATGTCAGTAGTAAAGCGATCGGTTATGTGCACATAGTGATGTATGTTTATGCCATCGGAATCATATTCAAACACTAGCAATTCTAGCTAAATTTCGCTGCACTAGTAAATGCATTAGTTAGATATAAAATTTCACAAAAAGTCCTTCACTGCTTGAATCAATTCCCAACTGGCGATCGTCAATGTATGGGAGATAACACCGATCTGGATATGTAACTCGGAGTCCTTAGCAGTAGGCATGAAGAAAAGGGAAGAGACTTACCCTCTTCTTTTTCGTTGCCAGCCGGCATTTTTCCAAAATAGCAGAATTTTTGTCTGAAGTTCGTGCGACTGTAATTGCGCAAGTGTCAGGTTGAGGTGGTGGACAGTGGAAGTGTAGAAGAGCGCTCTTAGTTCTCAGGATCCGCTCGGAAAACATCATCGTCATGCCAGATCGTTGGAGATATCTAGCAAAGCCATGTGTCACAGTTGTCGAAGCTGCTTTTCCATCGGCCATGTTGACCATGGAGACTCTCAGGGTCTTCGCAAACCAAAACCAACCTCCACGCTTAATAAACAGGATGAAGTAGATATTACATCGTGATGAAATCATTCCAGCACCAGCAGAGCTCCACCATCACCGGTCACATCTAGATATTTCCAATGACGCTCTGTATGTGCTGGAAGAAAACCACGTTAACATGTAGTTTCCCAGCGACCAGCATGGCGACCACTTCTTCAACCAGCGTGAACACTCGAGGCGATTCAGTGTGTGGGTCAGCTGTCCAAGTTGGGCATGCCGCCCAGTCTTGGATTCCGGACTGATCAGGTTTAATACCGTGCTCATCATAGGCTGCATCAGCTGCATGTACTGAGGAGATAATATGCAGGTTTTATTGACGATACTGTGAGGGGGAAGACGTAAGATTGGCTGCTTGTTCCACAATGTGCCCGCGCTTCGTCTAAGAAAAGCGAGACCGAGCATGGCTCCAGAGAGATCCTTTGCAGTTTGAAGGATTATCTCCGGTGACTGTTTACCAGTGCGGAACATTTTCCCAATGCGTTTAATTTCACTCACTGTGGCATATTTCAGATGTAGATGAGTGCTCCAACTTGACTGTTTAAGTTGGCCGGAATAGCCACAAATACCCTCTGGTGTCTTCTCGAATGGTGTTCCGGTTTGCAGCTAGTATGAACACTGCCCATTCAACAAGTTGAAGATTGCCACTGTGGGGCCCCCAAGGTGAAGACGTCACTAGAGACTTGGTCAATCGACGGGATATTTTAAATTTAAGAAGATGACTTACGTCTTGAGCGTATCATTGTACCGTTTTGCCTTGCGTTCACGAGAGGCGGAGAGAATATCACTGGGAAGAATTCTCCCCAGCTTCAGGACGTCACTGCGGACTTCGGTAAACAATTGATAAAAAACTCATCCCACCTTTGCACGCCGCAGCTGCCTTGTAGTTTCGTGCCTGTCGAAGGACTTGAAAGTTGGTACCTAGTCCCAGAGGAAATTTGCTCCGTCCTTGATCATCGCCCTGAGTAGACAACACCACCAGCTCTAGGTAGGAAATTGCTCTTCTATAGCTTTGGCATGGTCCGGTTTGAGGTGAGTCCAACCGGTTTTCCTTCTAACCTGTTTGTGTTCGACAAGGTTGGTAAAGCTGGGAATATCTGTAGTGTATCCATCAACGCTAAATATAGCCGAATTTTCCAGGTTAAGTTCCACATTCGCTTCAGTGTTCTATCGAGAAAGAAACAGAAGACTCGCTGTGCAAGAATTGTCGGTAGTGTCCAATGTACCAGTCCGGGTTTTCAAAGTGGTCGGTAGTAGCATCCAGTTTGAGCACTACTTTTCTGGGTAGATATTTATCAATAAGAAAATCGCCGGACTTGGCTTTTCTAAACGCAAAGATGTAAAGTTGGGCTCTGAGTTTGCCCGCCTCTGTGAAATGTTAGGCAAACTCTCGTCTCACCTTACGGCCGGCATTATAGAACGCTTTTCGGGACTGACTAGAGTAACGACTGCCGTCCATAAGTCTGATACCGACCCGATGAAGGCTATATCGGTAAGAATGCCATGCACACTCGTGGCCATTTTGTGGTCAATCCCTATCTCGGTGCATGGTCTATAACAGCCAGAGGACATTGGTAGATGGCATGCTGGCAAAGACCAAAGGTAGGTGCCCCGGCTCATCTGTTCGACTTCAAGACTCTGTCCGGCTTGATTCCAAACCATATCTGCGGGTGGGGAGAACCATGACAGTGAGACACTGGCCCTGTTGGTAGTTGACAAAGTAGACACTGCTGAGAACACGCCGCTGGGCGCATCGTATGATGTTGAGATATCAGCCACGTTTAGCCTGATTGAGACACCGATCCGATATTTCGCTTCAGTGGTTGCCATCTGCAATAACTGTGGTTAGCAGAGTCTCTCCTATCGTACCTAGTCATATATGGAGCTTACCAAGATAGCTGGCCAAATAGATAGTGGAACATGTAGAGGTTTATAGTTTTTGCTGTATAACTCGTTCGATAGAAGATAGAATTTGGTTTGGTATTTGTTGTCGACGATCATGGCATATAAGATATATGGTTATTGCCACTCGAACACGACGATATCATGTCGAGGTACAATTCATATCAAGCCTAACCTCAAGTGCAGCTCTGGTATATAGGTGCTCTGGTATATAGGTGCAGTGTCTGATCTATCATGCCACTTTTGGACTTTGTAAGTAGATCTATGTACCGTAGTAAGGAGAAAAAAGGAAGGAGATTGGTAGCGGGAGACTACTTGTATAACAGTTTAAAGTCTACTTAGTTGAGCATTGTGTGGTGTTTTTGTAATGTGGCTTAGGCTGCAGTGATTGTTCTACTATGCAATGGAGCTGTTGTAGGGACTGCTTCAATGGAGTGATAGAGTGGCTTGGTGGAATGTTGTTGCTTGCTATCACTTGATTCGGGGTCTCAAACAAGTCAATATTGGTTTACTTACTGCTATACTGATCCTGTGATCAGATTTGATTGATGGTCAGTGGTACCATTTCATTATGATGATCAGAATCCCATGATACAAACACTAACAATAGACATGATATGCAGCGTGGATGAGCCTATCTCATATCTCTAAAGAAACCGCACTGAGCAAGCTGATCCCCATTTCTAAACCATAGACGCCAGGCAGAATCAATAAAAAACCAACAGTCATCAAAAGACAACCGAACTCTCCTCCACCGTCCGCCCATAACAAAGCGGATACAGCCTCCCCCAAAACCGACACAAATTACTATGATTCTCCTTCTCAGACACCATCCACACCGCAAACGCACACTCTGTTCGAAACGGGCTCTCGCTGCGAAACTGCACCACCTGTACCCCCGTCAGCTTGGATTTTCCGTCCTTCAACACCACCCATCCACAATCATCAAAACACACCTCATCATACTTCTGCAGCGCCTGAAGATACTCCACCGACAGCCCAAACAGCTTCAGCACCTCCTTGCGCACCTTCCTCGCCGCAACGCTATACACCCGGTTGAGGTCCTCCCGGGCCAAATGCTCGCGGTCTCCGACGGTGATGGCCCCGGGAAGTTTCCACCGCTTCCGCTCGTAGATGACCTCGATGAGGCGGGTGAGGACGTTCGCTTGCCAGGTGATGAGCATGTCGCTGGGGAGGGAATGCATGCGCTGTTCGAGCTGGATCAGGTCGAGGCTGAGGCGGAGCGTCCCCGTGCGGATCTTGAGCATCTTGTGCTCTAGGTTTTGGTTGCTGGTGTGGAGGGCGTCGAGGCTCGCGTTGTAGGTCTGCGATGGTTAGTATTAGTATTATTGGGTTTATATTTCATATGATTGGGTTTGGTTGAGTGGTTATGCTTGTTGATTCTTCAAATGAAGTGACGTACCCTTAAGACGGACTCCGATGGCTTTGCTGCTGTTTTATCTTGCGATGGGGTTTCCCCAGCGCGGTAAAAAGACATTCCTGGCCCATACATCTGCACGATATCGGCCATGGCTGGCTGGGGAAGAGAATAAGATAAGTTCTACTGTCGATGAATGGAATGCTATGCGACTGCAGGGTAATGCTGTACGCTAGGAGACACTGGCATGCTGAGGCTGGAAGGCCTGAGAGGATGGATGATGTCTGTAGTTGGGTTGCGGTGTTGATTGGAAGGGGCTACTCGGGGGAGGCAGAGAGATTTTTGCTCTTTCTTTCTTTTGGTTTAGGTTGTTAGGGTACTTTCCCTCGGGGTTGGTAAATTCATCTGATTGGGAATGGAGTTGTTCGGTTTATAGTCGCGAGTGTTGTGGTGCTGGTAGCTCTTGTCTAGGAAAATTACTTTGCATGTCATCAGGAAAGGGATGTACTGATAAGTTTCCCATCAACCACCTCGTTCAAGATTCAGACCAGTAAATCCATAGGCCAGCTAGACACTAAACGTTTTATATGACCAGCATTATCATTCCTCACAGCATTGTCCAAACCAAAAAAAGTCTATCTTCACACATGTAAAACTGTAAATTATGTACTGAAATCACAGCTTACTAGCCGACGACTTGCCAAACTCCATCACCAACTTCCCAAACTGCTTACCGTCCTTCATATCCTGGAAAAGGCCATCAAGGCCCGCAATGTCGCTAAGATCAGACCGTACCACGCGATCGACGACAGGATGGATCTTGTGGGCGCGCACGAACTCGACCATCTCCTTGAACTCCTTGCGCGAGCCCATGGTCGAGCCGCGCACGTCGATGTTCTTCAGGACGGCCTGCATCAGGAAGGGCATTTTGGGGGAGACGGTCATGCCGTAGACGGAGAGGACGCCGCCGGCCTGGTCATCATCAGTATTACTTTCTTTTATCTTCTCCCTCTTCCAAAGAGAATATAACGAAGGGGAATAGGCTCACCTTCAATAACTTGGCCGACTTCTCCACGGCATCCCCACCTGCACCATCAATCACCGCATCAAAGTTCTTCTTTCCCTGCGGCAACATTCCCAACAGCTTCTTCTCCCAGCCCTTCTCCTTATAACTGACGCCACCGCGAGCCCCCAGCTCAACCGCCTTACGAATCTTCTCTTCACTCGAGCTTGTCACATAGACATCAGCCCCTCGCGCGACCGCAAAGCGCAGCACCATAAGCGCCACACCGCCGCCAATACCCGTAAGAAGGACAGCAGCGCCCTTACCCGAGTTGCGCTCACCAGCCTTCACGACCAGCGCCCTCCACCCAGTCAATCCCGTCAAGGGGAAAGCAGCGGCCTCAGCATCTGACAGATGCTCAGGGGCCTCCTCGACCTCCGTCTCCTCGACAACGAGGTAATCCTGGAGGGTCCCCTTGTTGTAGAGCTTGGTGCCGCCCAGGATGCGATAGCCGCGGGGGTCCTCAGGCCCATCGGGCGAGTCGCGCCATCCGACGCCTGGGTTGATGATCACGCGCTTGCCATGCCAGCGCTGGGGATTGGAGACGTCCGGCCCGGCGCCGACGACGGTGCCGACGCCGTCGGCGCCCATGGGTACATCGAAGGTGATTCCTGGGTAGAGGTGTTGGCGGAGGAAGACGTCGCGGTGGTTGAGGGCGGCCGCGGTCATGCGGATGAGCAGTTCGTTGCCTTTGGGGGTGGGCTGGGGGAGGGTTTGTAGGGAGAGCGGGTAGTAGACTTGGCCGGGTTTGCCGTCTGTTTTTTGGAGGAAGATTGCTTTGGACATTTTGGTTGTATCTTCTTCCTTTTTCCTTTTTCCTTTTCCTCTATAGTGTTCTTGTATTGTGAGGGAGTGTCTTGTTGATTGTTGTAGAGTGAGTAATAAGACAATGGATGAACTTGAAGGTTGAAGGTGTTTTGTTCTCTTGCGGGGAGAACTCGAGCTTTATCGATAACCGAGGATGGACGGCTTCATAATGTAATCATCACAAGACTTGAGCATCTTTCCTCTATGACATCCCTCCTTCACCCATTTATTGTTGTATTCTTTTTTTCTGCAATATGATATATACAGCTTTGTCAAAACATTGACAACCCAACCGTGGATTCATTTCAATGTGAGGTGCAAACAGCACTTGACGCAGCCAACCTCGGTCCAAACGGGCGAACTATCAGGGGTCGATCATTATGACGCAACTGGCTGTTCCTGTCTGAAGCTACAATTGATTCTCCATACCATGTCTCATATTACAAAACACTACCCACAAGCACATATTCAAACGACTAAAATAATCAAACGCCGACCTCTTCTAATACATTACTAGCACAGATGTAATACCTTAACATCAACGTGCCGGACAATCACACCCACCCGCACCGTCCAGTCCAGTCTCGTAGGCACAAGCGTCTACGGAACAGCCCACCCCAGCACCACAAAATCGATCTAGTCGACTCCCAAGACGACCATTACCATAGCTAGGAGTCTGCTCACAGTCAGGGCAACAGTCGATGCGACGTCCCGAATAGCAGCAGCAGCAGCAGGGGGCAGACGAGGAAAAAGAGGGGGAGCAACAGCCATCGCAGCAAGCAAGCTCGGCCTCCTGGTCCCCCCCCCGTTCCGGCAAAGAACACTCATCGCACCCATTACAGCAATCGTCCACCCCCGACGTAGCGTAGAGTTTTTGTTCGCGACGTCGTCGGGGAGGGCGCGTGTGCGATCTAAAGCTAGAAACAGAGCCAGCACCGTCAAAGGTCTCCGCTAGACCTTCAACGCGGTAACGAAAAGGCCCCCCCCTCACACCACGTCGCTCCGCGCGTGCCGTCGCGCTGACTCTCACGCCGGCTGGGGGAGAAAGGCTCGAGGAACGCCGGTAGGAGACGCGAGCGGCGGCGGCGGCGGCATCGACGTTGAGGTCCCTCCTGTCTGGCCCGGGGGACCTGCGTTGGCGGGACCAGCTGTAGAGAAGGGGGGTGATTCTTCTACGGGGAGGTTTGCAGAAGAGGCCCATGTTGAAGTATGAAATATTTTTCTTTCTTTCTTGTTCTTTTTTTAATCGGTCACAATGGAGGACGGTGGAGTGAGATGGAAGCTGTAGTATGTAAGTAGGATGGGGAATATGGAGCCATGATGGGTTTTACGGGGAATATATAGATGACGGTGAACAATCAACCATCATTGAAGCTTCTGATGGATTCATCGATGGTGATTGAGCCCCATGGTCAAACCAGTATCAAACCACTGAGCATCAAACGCGGCTTGTATGATGGATGCCTGAGGTATGGGGTGGTTGTGGGGGCTGGGGTTGGCATGCATGCATGTATATGTATGGCAAACCAACCGTACGGAGTATCCAGGAATGAATTAGGTACAAAAAAACAAGGGGAAAAAGATAGCTCCAATATCAAAATAATGAAGCCCACAAATCAAGAAAAGATACATCTATATCTCTTTCTTTCGCTTGATGTGATGAATACCACTGGTGTATGTTGAAAACAAATGAAGCGTTTGCGGCCAAATCGATCTGTGGAAAACAACACTGGAGGAAAGTAGCTTATAGCCACGCACCATCTGGGGAAGACTCTGCAAGATTTCTTTGGAAAGAACTCTATCTGTAGTGTCGGTAGTAGGATAGGAACAGCTGGATACATCCACCGTGAAAAAAGACCCTGTTTGAGGAAATCGAACTGCTGCACTACTGCGAGATCCTCCCTTGAAGAGCTGCAGATGTTGTGGGTTTTGTGTGGCCGGGGTAAGTCCATTGTATTCAAGTGGTAATCTGACACACGAATTGGGGGCTGGCAATGCCAGTCGCATGCAAACAACGGGTTATCCCTGTGTATTGTAACTTACCGAGGCAAGGTCGCAGGTAAGGAATCAATGAACGTGGAAGTAAAACCCACCGGCCATCGGGCGTACTGCCACCGCCCCCCAAATTCGCCGCAAGCCGATTTCATTTTTCCAGACTTTGTTCTTCTCCTTCTCTCTCTCTCTCTCTCTTTCTTCTCGATCTGATCTTCTGCTTGATCTCTCGACTCTGGATCCTCTAGCGTTCTCGGCTCTACCTTCTCTGAAATATCCTCCCCTGACCTTCATCCACTTCGATACTCTTCGTCCCATTCCTTTCCTCTCCTTACAAGCTTTTATCATCCCCCCCGATCAATTCCAAAACGGAGAATAGGTGGGTGCTTCCGTCCTTCACACACAACCTTCAATCCACAACATCCTTCACCTCTTCTCCCCCCCCTCATCTATACTACCCAGAACCCTGTCGAACTGCTTCTGTCTATTGAATTTAGCTCGTTGGTTTCATTCATCGCTTCTGTCATCATCTCCGAACCTCAATCCAAATCAAACTAACCCGTGATCTGACGTTACGTCGAATTTAGCTCCTTTGCTGGTCCCTCCGGATTTCATCATACCTTCATCTCTCGACCACCATAATGCCCACACCACTTCCCTCAAGTTTTGCTTCGGCCGCCGCTGGCAATGTTCAGGACCCCTCCGCTAGGAGAGGTGATGGAACTGCCGGTGGAGAATGGTACGCTGGGAAACCACCCCTCCGTCGATTTTGGCATGGATCGAGAGATCTCTAGTCATATCTGTCCTTCCTTTCCTCTTGGATCATCGTGAAAAACCCCATCGTGGTTACTGATTGCCTCCTTCTTGCCGGTCAGGTCTCGAGCTCGTATGAATGGCGCCACACAAACCTTCCGTCGCCCGTCCGTTGCTACGAACCTTTCTCACACCCGGGATACCAGCCAACCGCCGTCGGCCACCACGCCGTCGGCGGGCGTCTACACCCCCCCACACATGACCCCCAGCGCTCACCGTAACGGCGCCGCCCCCGACACCCGCTATTCCAAGGACCAGCTGCTTAGTCTGTACAAAGCCCAGCGAGAGCTGGGTGGGTTGAGTAAGAACGTCTCAGAGTACTTCGTCGCCGACTGGAACCCGCACGTCGAGTCCCCCACCGTCAACGGCGCCTGGGGCCGCCGAGAAGATCCCAAGGAAACTCTCAACGGACCCGAGGTGTGTTGGGATCATGGAGGGCAGATGGAGCCGTTGGGACTGATGGGCATGACCGGTGAAGAGAGAGAGGTGGGCTTTCTCCTTGCTCCTCCCCCACCCATCGCGACTCGTGCTAAGTGATGCAGTTGTTTTCCCTCTCGGTCAACTCGCCCCTCAAGCCGCCCCCCACCAACGCGACCAAGGAAACCCCTGGGCCGGTGGCCCCCGGAGGACGGAAATCTTCCATCTCCTACGCCCAGTCCCAGACCAACCAGGCGACCGCGTCCCCGAATGCCGCACGACCAGGGCCTCGCCGTCGGGAGACGGGGGATTCGGGTGCAAATCCCATGTCCCCCACCACCGGTGGCTCTCGCTTCACCCGCGACGAATCCAACACCGCCCCGCCACCCCCTTCGCTCCTACGTCGGAAGACCGACTTCCGCGATACCTCGTCCACGGCCCGGTGGGAGGAGAAGGAAAAGGAACACTCGGGCGGCCGCGACGGGGGCACGGACGTCGCCAGTCCGTTCGGATCGCTCAAGCGCAGCTCGACGAATCCGTTGCACGTGGCGGCGGCGGCGGCCGGTCCCACCTCGCCGTGGGGCCCGTCGGCCTCCCAGAGTGCCAACTTCTCCCCCATGGGCGCGTTCGGGGCGTTCTCGCTCGGATCCGGTGCCGCGCCATCGCCCACGACGGAGAAGAAGGCCGGATTTGGCAGTCTTCGCGGGGAATCGCGTCTGAAGGGTCTCTTCCAGAAGGAGAGCGCCGAGGACATCTCGTCCGCGGTCCGCGAGAAACCGTCGCTCAGCAGTCTCGACCGGCTGGTTGAAGGGGACGCCGGCGACAAGCGCGCCCAGTCGCCGTGGGCCGAGGCCATCAAGACGCGCGCCGGACGAAGCGAGACCAATCCCTTCCCCGAGGAGGAGCCTCGCAGCGGCAGCGCGGCGCTCGGGGGCTCCCAGGACGTCGGGGCCCCGCCCCAGAGTGCAGGGGACCCCCTGGGCTTTTCGGCCTTCGGCATGACCTCTAGCATTCCGGGCTTCCGGGAGCTGATGCAGAGCCAGGAGAATTCGCGCAACCCCACGCCCAGCCTGCCCGGCCACGAACCGACGAGTCCGACCAACACCAACCCCTACCAGAGCCCCTCGGGCGACCGGGGCGACGCGGAGGAGGTGGAGACGGACGGCTCCGACATCCAGGCCAGCCATCCCGGTCTGTCTGGCATCCGGGACCCGTCCCACGCCTTCGGCCCCATGCGCCGCGTGGGCTCGGGCGTGGACCTGCCGTCCATTGACCGCAGCCAGACCTCGAGTGCGGCGGGGAACCCCGGCTTCTCGGGCCTGGGTGGCCTCGGCGGGCTCTCCCTCGGAAACCCGTCGGGATGGCCGCCCAGCAGCGGGGCCGTGGGCACCCCCACCAAAGAGCGGTCCGCCTTTGCCGGTGGGTTTGGCGACCCCATCTTCGGGTCCATGGGTGACCTCCAGTCCCCTGGCCTGGCCACCCTGGGCGGCGGCGGTCTGTTCAGCCCCCACGCGGGCATCTCTGGCACCGGGAGCATCGGCCGTTCCAGCAAGCTCGGCTCGCTCTTCCCGTCTGCGATGCAGGAGCAGATGCAAGGCGACCACGCCAGGGCCGACCTGGGCGGTTTGGACGATCTCGGTCGGCCGACCGACTTCTCGCAGCCCGACCGATCCGCCAACCCGCCGACCACCACCTCCACCTCCCAGACCCCGGTGTCCGCCGTCGGTTCGGGCCCGGCCTCCATGCTCCCGGACGTACCCACGACCAGTCAAACCCCTGGCCAGGCCGGGTCGGTGCCCCCCGCGCAGCAGCGGACCATGGTGATGCCGGACCGCATGCGCTGGATCTACCGGGATCCGCAGGGCAACATCCAGGGTCCCTGGACGGGCCTGGAAATGCACGATTGGTTCAAGGCCGGATTTTTCAGCCCGGATCTGCAGATCAAGAAGCTGGAGGACCCCGAGTTTGAGCCGTTGGCGCAGCTGGTGCGGCGCATCGGGAACTCGCGCGAGCCGTTCCTAGTCCCTCAGATCGGAATTCCCCACGGACCCGATCCCAACCAGGCCCCCTCGTGGGGCAACACCCCGACCACCACCGGCACCGCCCAGCCCCCGTTCCCGGGCAGTTTCCCCAGCTTCGGGACGACGTTGACGGCGGAGCAACAGAACGCGTTGGAGCGCCGGAAGCAAGAGGAACAGTATCTGATGGCGCGGCAGAAGGAACACCTGGCGCAGCAACAGGCCATGATGAAGCAGATGCAGTTCCCCGGTGTGCCCCACGCCATCCACCCCCACCAGCTCCAGCACCACTCCAGTGCGCACAGCCTCCACAGCCAGCCCAGCTTCGGCAGCATCGCCTCTCCTGTCGGCTTCCAGCCCTCCCCCATCCAGGGACCCCTCCAGTCGCAGCCGCCGCAGCAGCCCCCGCAACAGCCCCCGCACGGGGTCGCTGGTTTTTTTGATGCCCCGGGTGCGGCACGGCACAACCCTTTACCCCCGGTCGGCCCTGGGATGCTCGGGAATGAGTTGGGTGGCGGCCAGGATCAACTGCCAGCCCTCTTGGACCGGCTGAACGTGAGCCGACCCGACCCGTTTGCCTTTGGCAGCCCGGCGTCCTTCGCATCGCGACAGCCCGACAGTCTGTTCCAATCCCAACAGGTCGCCAGCATGCTCCAGGATCGGGCTCGCCTGCAGCAGGAGCAGGAGCAGTATGACCGCACGCACGAGGACAACCTGTTCGACCAGCAGGCTCGCGAAGAGCGACTGCGGCAGTTCCACGCCTTGCGCGCACAGGAAGGCGACTTTGGCCTCCGCACGGTGGAGGGTCTGCCCACCCATCCGGCCACGGGGCTCTCACCGGAAGACGAAGTGGACGCCCTCACGGCGGACGATATTGACGCGTCGGCCCATCTGCAGGCGAACCAGGGGCCCGTGGGTGCTGAGCCGGCTCTCACCCTGTCGCAGCAGGTCCAGAAGGCCGCGTCGGCCCAGCGACAGCAGCAGGAAGCACAGGAGCAGGAACAACAGGAGCAGCAGCAGCAGCCGCCACAGCAGCACCAGCCGACCCAGGCCCAGCCGTCTGGCGAGTCGGCCTGGGCCACCAAGGACAGTGCCATGCCCCAGCCGTTCCCTCCCCCGCCGTCCGCGTCGCCGCTTCCCGCGCCGGCGGCCCAGCGCAACCGGCAAAACGTGGCGGAGTCCCTAGCCGCCAACTCGCGATCCCAGACCCAGACCCCGGTCGAGGCGCCCACGACCTCGATCGCGCCCTGGGCCAAGGAAGCCAATGAGCTGCCCAAGGGGCCCTCGCTGAAGGAGATCCAGGAGGCCGAGGCCCGCAGCGCCGCACAGAAGGAAGAGCTGGCCGCTGCGGCGCGTCGGGCGCAATTGCTCGCGGAGCAGGAACGTCTCAGCCAGGCCGCCGCGCAAGCTCCCGGTCTCCCCTCGACGGCGAACTGGGCCAGCGGCGGATCGCCTGCGACGCCGACGTCGGGTAGTGGCTCGGTGTGGGGTAGCGCCAAGGCGCCCACCACCTCCAGCGGCGCAGCCAAGAAGACGCTGGCGCAGATCCAGAAGGAGGAGGAGGCTCGCAAGCAACGTCTGGCAGCCGCAGCCGCAGCCACCGCCGCCGCCGCCGCGCCGACTGCCGCGGCCAGTCCTCCCAATGTGCCCTCATCGACCGGCAAGCGATACGCCGACCTGGCCAGCCGGGTGGCCGCCCCATCCCCGGTCAACATCGGCGCTGCCGCGACGCCTCCCAGCACGGGCGCGTGGACCACCGTCGGTGCGGGTGGGAAGGCCAAGGCTCCCCCTGCCGCGCCGTCCGGACCTCGCGCGGCTCCCAGCGGTCCTCCCCCCGTCGCCGCCGCGGCTTCGCCTGCGAAACCCAAGCCGGTGACTGTTGTGGCCCCTCCCAGGGTTACCCCCGTCAGCACGCCGCCGGCCAACCCCAACCGCGCCGTCGAGGAGTTCACCAAGTGGGCCAAGCTGTCTTTGGGCAAGGGCTTGAACAGTAACATTAACGGTATGTTTGTTTATTAATCTATCTATTTCACTATTCTTTGAGACAAGCTAACATTTCCCAGTGGATGACTTCGTCCAGCAGCTGATGATGCTCCCCGCGGAAGCGGAGATCATCTCGGACTCGGTGTACGCCAACTCGCAGACGCTGGATGGCCGGCGATTCGCGGAGGAGTTCATCCGCCGACACAAGCTGGCGGACAAGGGTATTGTGGACCCGGTGGCGGCCAGTGCACTTGCGGAGAAGAACGCAGGTGGATGGAGCGAGGTGGCTAAGAAGGGGTCGTCGACTGCGCACCGCGAGGAGGACAGTGCCAGTGCGAACTTCAAGGTGGTTGCTCCTCGAAAGAAGGGGAAGCGGTAGGCTTCTAGAATAAGGGGGGGTTGTAGTACATGGATTTCTAGCAGAAGAGGGGGATGGCATATGAGCGCATGTGTACGATTAGCTGAACATGAAAGGTGCATCCAGATGTATAGCAATGATCGACGTATCACGTGGGACACCATTCGTATCTTATCTTATCTTATCGTACGCCCTTTGGGTGACATTTTCTCCGCATTACTCCATCTTTACTTCATATTCTACTCATTCCACTTCTCTACACTCATCTCCTCATCTACTCCTCCATACTACTCTCTCAATACGACACCACTTTTCAAAACTACCGCAATGTCCCCCACACTCACACCCACACCCACCCCCTTCGGCGACCCCATGCGCAAACACTTCCTCATCGACCCCGCCTACAAGAACCTCAACCACGGTCAACCCCCCTCCCCCTCCCTTCCCTTCTCGAACAATACTAAAACCCAACCAGGCTCCTTCGGAACCCATCCCCGCACCCTTCAACACACCCTCCGCGAGTACCAAACGGCCGCCGAATCCCAAACCGACCCCTTCATCCGGCGCACGCAGCCCGCCCTGCTCGACGAATCCCGTCGCCAAATCGCACAATACCTCAATGTGCCCACCAGTACCTGCGTGTTCGTCAAGAACGCCACGACGGGTGTGGACACGGTCTTGCATAATCTGCCGCTCGGGGAGGGAGACGTCATCGTCTATTTTGCTACTGTCTACGGCGCCGTCGAGAAGGGGCTTGTTTCGCTTGCGGAGAGACGGCCGGGGTTGAAGCTGCGGAGGGTGGAGTATGCGTTTCCGGTGAGTCACGGGGAGTTGGTTGAAAGGTTTGAGAATGCTGTTGGTAAAGTCAGAGAAGAGGGGGGAAAGGTCCAGGCAGCTGTGTTCGATACGATCGTGTCGAATCCGGGTGTCCGATTCCCATTTGAGAGGCTGGTGGGTGTTTGTCGGAGGGAGGGGATACTGAGTATTGTGGATGGGGCGCATGGGGTGGGGATGATCCCGTTGGATTTGGGGGCGCTGAAACCGGATTTTTTCACGAGTAATTGTCATAAGTATTTCTCCTTTCCCTCTTTCTTTCTCGTTCTTGTGCAATTCCCCAGAAATTACCATCATATTTATTGATGAAAGACTGACTAATGTGAATGAAGATGGCTCTACGTCCCCCGCAGCTGCGCCGTCCTCCACGTCCCGCACCACAACCAACACCTCATCCGCACGACCCTCCCCACCTCATGGGGCTTCATCCCTGGACCAACCTCACCCACCACAGCGCCGTCCCCGGTTGAAAGCGACGGCGACGAGAAAACGCCCTTCGAGCGGCTTTTCGAATTTGTGGCTACGGCAGACGACACGCCGTACCTGTGTGTGCCTGCCGCGCTGCGCTTCCGCAGGGATGTCTGCGGCGGGGAGGATGCTATTTATGCTTATTTGGAGAGGTTAGCGCGCGAGGGGTCTGATGTTGTTGCTGCTAAGCTGGGGACGAACGTGCTTCAGGAGAGAGGGTTGAGGGGGGGAGAGCAGAGTTTGGTGCGGAGGTGTGGGATGGGGACTGTGAGGTTGCCTATTGCTGTTGCTGCCTCTGCTGGAGGAGCCGGCACTTCTACCGTAGCTGCTGCTGGTGGGAATGGGAAAGACGGGGTAAAGATTGGGGCAGATGAGGCACCCACCGTGACGAAGTGGGTGCAAGATACGCTGATAGACAAGTACGGCACGTTCGTGCCGGTGTTTGAGCACGGGGGATGGCTGTGGGTGCGGTTGAGTGCGCAGGTTTATCTGGAGAGGGAGGATTTCGAGTGGTTGGGGGATGTACTTGGGGAGGTGTGTTTGGATTTGAGGGGGAAGTATAGGGCCAAACTGTGATTTATATACTTCTGTATAGATGGTGTAGTGGGGATACTACTGGTATTAAATAATATAGACAATTTATCAGACTAAACAAGGACATCACGATCTACCAGTCGTGTATTGCAAGAATACCATGGCTACAAATATCAGGACGCCATTACCCTCCAAAGTAGTCTACATCCAACACGCTATACAACATCCATCCAACCTCCAACAACTACGACCTCCGATAAACACACCCCCCACCAAACCACGTCTCCTCCACAACAGCATCAAGTAACCCCCCCTCTCCCAACTCCATATCCAGCACCACAAAATCCGCCCTCATCCCCACCCCCAGCCTCCCCACCACGCCCTCCGCAAAACACGAATACGCCGACCCAGCAGTCGCAGCCCCCACAGCCTGCATCAACCCCAACGCGAAGCCCTTATTCACCACCTCACGAGAATCCGGCTCCCTCGCCGACCGCCTCGTCACAGCCGTATACACATTCCTAAGCGGCCAGTGCGGCGCAGTCGGCGAATCCGTCCCAATAGCCAACGTCGCCCCCTCATCCACAAACTCGCGGTACGCAAACGCTCGCCGACACCTCTCCTCGCCGAGCAGTTTCGGCCACGCGCGGAGGATAGCCGGGTCGGCATGGACGGGCTGAACAGACGCCGTGATGCCCAGTCTGGCGAGCCGCGCAGCATCCCCCGGCCGCGTAAGCTCCAGATGCTCGATGCGGTGCCGGCGATCGCGAGACCCTGCCCCGTCGACGACGGTCGAGCACGACTCCAGCGCATCCAGCGCCATCTGCACTGCCGCGTCCCCGATAGCATGCAACGCACACTGTAGCCCCGCACCGTCAGCGCGGTGCACCACTTTGCGCAGAATATCGGGCTTCCAGAGCATATCGCCCGTGGTATCGGCGTCGGTCGCAGCGTACGGCTCCATCAGCGCAGCGGTACACGCATCCACAACACCATCGCAGATGAGCTTTATCCCCGCGATGCGGAAATCAGGCGAGGTCTCGCGATTGAACTCCTCATGTAGCGCGATCGCGTGATCAACCTGCGCGAACACCTCCCCCTCACTATCTTTAGGCGCGATGATCCAGTGCGCGGCGAGTCGGATAGGCACTGGCTCCCTCGCGCGCAGCAACTTCATCGTATCCCAGAGGTTCTCGTCCGTCGCCATCTCGATCATACCCGTGTACCCCGCAGCGTTATACGCACTCACCGCGTCGCGGATGAACGCCAGTTTCTCATCAGGGGAGGCGACTTTGGCGACGTGCGGCCAGACAATATTAACGGCCGCCGTCTCGCTAATCAACCCCGTCGCTGTGCCGGTGACCGGATCGCGATGGATGACGCCGCCGGCGGGGTCAGGGGGGCTGGTCGCTGCATCTAGAAGGCCTAGTTCGCGCAGCGCGGGCGTGTTGCACCATGCTGAGTGGAGGTCTTTGGAGTCGATGAAGATGGGGCGGGGGTCGAGGTCGTCGAGCATGCTTGCCAGGGCGGCGCCGTCGGTCATGGAGTGCATCCAGCCGCGGCAGAAGAGGCGGGATGCGTTGGGGCGGGCGCGGGCGGCGGATTGGATGGTGGAGCGGATGGAGGCGAGGGAGGTGCAGGCGCCGAGGTCGATTTTGGAGAGTGAGGCGCCGAAGAGGAGGAGGTGCATGTGTCTACATTCTTGTTTTTAGCCTATGGGTGGGTTGGCTTATTGGGTGGGTTGTTTGGCGTTCATGAGGGGCAGGGAAATCCGGGGAGTATGGAGGGATACCCGTCTATGAAGCCTGGGAGAATCTTCTTTCCCTCCAGGTCGACGACCTTGTAGCCTTCGAGCGATATCGGCTCGTCATTCCCGACGTAGACGATGCGGTCGTCTTCGATGATCATGCAGGTGCAGAGCGCGTCTGACTCTGTCGAGCCGGGGACGATCGTGCCGTTTCTAAAGAGGGTTTTCATGCTGAACTTGAGTGGAAGTATAGTACAGACATACAGATGGAGAGAGAGAGAGAGAGAGAGAGAAGTGAGAGAAGAGAAGAGGGGAAAAGAAAAGGGGAACAAGTGGGCCTCCAGGCTGATCGATAAGATCCACCGGGATGGACCCATCCCAGCATCATATCATGATCGTGATCATGATCATATCAAAGGTGCAGAAACATTCGCTATGTCGTTATTCAATACAGATCCTATCGTCGCGTCGTATGTCCAATCTATCCTCCCATCCACCCCTGGTCAATTTCCGCCAAAGTGACTCCGCACCCATCCTGATATGCCTCCCTGTCCTTCGCCCCGACTCGCCCGTCGTGTGTCCGTCTGCCCTGACTGTGGTCCGCTGTGGGCGGATTCCGCCATGCTCGTCCGGCGCGAGGCCGGCTCAGGACTGTCACCGACTACGACCGGGTTCTGTCTCGTTCCTTGGCGTCTGGGATGTTAGTATCTCATCTGATGTAGGACCATTTAAGGTAGAGAAAAACATACGGAATGTCAATCGGTCGTCGACAGTGCGGACACGTGTTGTGCTGGTTCAACCACATCTCAATGCAAGTGTAGTGGAACCAATGGGTGCAGGGCAGCACCGTCACCTCGGTGCCGATGTCCACCGCGTCCATGCAAATAGAACACTCAGCCTTGCCCTCGTGCCCCAGCATTTCCTTATCGACCGGCTTCTTCGGCAGCGACGAAATAGCGTTCTGCGAAGCAGGCGGCGGCGCCGTCCCGCCCGCATTCTGCTCGACCAGTTGCGAGATGACCCGGTCGAGCTCTTCCTGCGAGTACACCGCGTCGCCGTGGCGGTCGAAGTTCAGCAGCGTCGACAGCAGCGCGAGCGGGTGCGTGCCCGTCGTAAAATGCGCTCCGCCCGCTGCGGCGCCGGCCATGCCCGTTTGCCGATTCCCCAGGTTGTCCTGTAACTGTTCCAAGATACTGAGATGGTCAGTCAGCTAGTCCGCGGCGAGAACAGAGGACCGTAGACTTACTCGCCCAACGTGCGGAGAGGCGTGACCTGAGGCTGCGGCCCGTCTGTATCCCGGGGTCGCAAGCCCGGTCCCCCGGCATACGATCCATGCGTGTCATCATCGTGATGTGTGTCGAAGTCGTGCCCGTGCCGGAACATGCCCCCCGCCACCCACGGCGGCGGCGCGGTACCAGCTTCCGGTGCGGACCCCGGTCCCGACCGCGGGTGGTTCTGCTGCTGATACGTATCCGCCAGGCCGTGAAAGATGCGATCTAATCCCCACATGACCGGCATCAACGGGTCGGGCTGTGCCTGTCGGGAGCGCTGCCCCCCCGACCGTTGCGGACCGAAGCCACCGTTGAAGGTGGTGCTGGTGAAGGTGAAACGGCCATCTGGGGACCGATAGTTGTGCGTGCGTAATCCATCCCCGGGTCCCCATTCATCCGGATCGTCGTCTTGGTGAGCCCAGGGATTGTGGTCGGCCCATGGATTGGTATTGGCACGGCGGGGTGGCGGTCGTGGCTCCTCGGGGAAGGCTTCGGGGGGGTCTGGCACTTCTGCTTCTGGATCGGGAGGGATTTCAACCTTTGTCAATTAGTAGAGGACTCGAGAGAAAAGGAAAAGAAAAGATAATCAAGTACAATCTCCGTAAAGTCGGACTGGCAGTGCGGGCACTCCAGGCCATGCTCATCCCGCAGCCACACCCCGCCACATGCGTGACAGAACACTCGATCCCGCGCGTCCGCCATCTGTCTGTTCTTGTGGATGGAAAAGTGTAAGGGTTCGAATGAAGAAGAGTTAGAATTTCGCTCCAGCTGCAACCAAATCCCAGAAGGAGGGAGGGGGGAATAAATAACAGGTGTTGAGTGGTGAAGTATAACTAAACTAGTCGATCAAGATCCCGAGGTGGTGGGCTGTCATTCATGGCGTCGAAGGACCATACACGCTGTACCATGTACGTACTTGCGTGGGTGGGGTTAAAAATGCATCGTGGCAAGCAACTAGATAGGATGAGGAGGAGAGAAGAAGTCAACCTGAGTGAGTTGTCGGCGAATTAACGAAGATGAAGAGTGATGCAAAAGAGAAGCGGGCAAGGAACCGCTGACACGTTTCGGTCCGAATCCGGTCGATGTCATGTCCCGTGTGGCGCAGTTCTCTCTTCTTCTTCTTCTTCTTCTTCATTCAAATGGATGACAATGAATAGATTATGTATCTTCTTCCACGCAGATAACCTAGTGACCACCCCTCAAACAATGACTCAGGTCACAAATGAAACGCCCACACATGCTAAAAGACCCGAATGAATGGAGAGCATAGACCACAGCCAGATAAAAACACAACACACAAAGAAAGAGAAAGAAAGACAGAATACAAAGACATCAATATGTACACAGTGATCCAAGACAGATGGTTCACCGTCTCTTCGCCCCCCGGACCACCAGTCCACCGACCACCCCGGCGGCCAGAGCCAGTCCGCCCACGATGGCAATCCCCAGCAGACCTTCCTTGGACACCTTGTCATCGATCAGCGACCCCAGACTGGCCGCCTGCAGGTTCTGGGGCTCCTTGTCCAGCAAGAGGTCATTGTATCGCCGTGCTTCGCCGTAGTTGCCTAGCTTGTAGTTGCCTAGCGCCAGGTAGTAGAGACATTCGCGTCGTCGCTCGGGGGAGGCACGGAAGATCTCGGAGAGGAGGCGCACGCCTTCCTGTTGATCCGGTCGGGCGTTGGATTTGATGAGACCCTGAAGACATTGATGAGCGGGATGAACCCAGTGCAAAGGATTGAATGTGGGGGAAGCGGGGGGGTCGAAATGATCATGACGGAGGACATACCCAGGCGAGGTTAAACTTGGTCTGCACCCCGACGTAGTCGCCTTCCTTCTCATACTGCGACCGCAGAACCTGAAGCTCCGCGGGCTTCAACGGGCTGTAACATGTTAGGATCCGAACAGGAAGGGTCAAGAGAAGGTTCAACGGACCTTTCGGCATCGGCAGCGTCTAGCAGGAGTCAGCTCTGGATAATGGATCAACGGGAGAAGTTGATAACATACATGGGAGATTCGACATGGCTATGATAATATCGAGATCGAGGTCGAGAAGAAGCGAATCCACTGGATTAGATGAATAGCCAACAATACTGGGTATATATTCCTTGCAACGGAGAAGATGAGCATAACAAGATAAACAATCATTTCTTTCGTCACCTGCTGTGGCGGTGCACAAACCGGGCGGTGGCGGTGGCGGTGACGGGTGGCAGTTGCTCCCCCAACCATCATAACATCTGCTTCCTGCTCTGAATATCACCAGATCACAACAGTCATTGACACGATATCAACCGTCAAGATGTTGCTCGACGAGAACCCGGCTACGGTATGTCTATACTACTCCGTAAAGATTGATCATGTTATTAACAGCCACTCAGCTTATCCACCACACCATCGGAAACTTCAACATCCACCCCGACAAACAAGCCGTCACCCGCATCAATGACTCCCTCTCCACCCTGCAGCAGTCGCGCGACCTGCGCATGCGCGAGGCCGAGTCCGCCATGCGTAAACTCTCCCGCAATCTGCACTCCCGCCTGACGCAGCACGAGGAGGCCGTGTCGGCCCACGACTCGGGCAAACATGCCGCGGAGATGGTCGAGCTGGACACGAAGAAGTTCCGCATCGCCAAGGCGGCCACGGAGCTGGAGATTGAGAGCGAGCGGCTGGAGAGTGAGCTTGAGGTGCTGAAAGAACGACTGGCGGATCTGGAAGCGCAGGGTCTGGAGGGAGATGAGATGACCCGGCGGGAGAGGGAGATGGATGATTCGACGATGTGGGTTTTTTTCCTCTTCTTCCTTCCCCCCTTAATGGGCGGATATGCTGATTATGACAGTCTTCGTCTGAAAATTTTCCGCTCGCTCGGAATCGATATCGAGCCCGATGAGGCTGGCAACTTCAATCGTGCGGTCATCCGGAACAGTCGCAAAGGAGACGTGCATGTGGTCAATATCGATTCGAAGTTCTCGCGCTTCTTCTACGCCAATTATTTCTGGTCGACGATGCAGGGATAATTTCGTCTAGGGAGACATGGTGTTGATGGTATAGGCGTTAGGTTACGATGCGACGATTGCGGTCCTTGATATACCCAAATTTTGTTACAATTGTTAGACAGATAATCATACATGGTATCATAAACACACATCCGATAAATGTAAACACGCCCATCACCCCGAAGCAGCCACTCTCTCCTCCCCCTCCAACGCCCTCCTCTCCCGCAAGGTTTGCACCACCCGCGCGCGCTCTTCCTCCGACAGCGCACTGCACCGCTTCCCCGTCCCCAGCAGCAGCGGCTTCTCCTCTGGAAAAAGTCTTTCCACCACCTCCAACAACTCCCACTTCTCCGCATCACCCATCTCCCCTCCCCCATCCATCCACATCCCCATCCACCGCTCCTCCGCGCTGGCCATCTCCCCCTCCACAGCATCCATCCCCGCCAACTCCTCCCCATCCCACGTCAACCCAACAGCCGCACCACCCTCCTTCTTCTCCCCACCAAGAGAAGAAGAATCATACCGAACCTCAACGCCCAACGCCCCCAACCCCAACTCCTCCACCCTCCCATTCCACAGCGCCTGCCTCAGCACCCCATCCCGCCCAACAAGCATCCACACAAGCGGAAACGCACTCCTCGCAAGCGCCTCCCGCACACCCCGCGTCGCCTCCCGCGGACTAACCAAAACACCGACCTCATCGCCAGTGCGCCACCCAGCCGGCGCACTCGCAAACGTCCCCTCCAGCTCGCGCACGAGGTTCGGGCCCAGTTTCGTCTTCAGCGCCTTGCACTGCACGATTGTACGCACGGGGTGTTCGCGGCCAGGCACGTGCCATGTGCCGAGGAGGTCGATGCCGGCGTCGGCGCGGCCGCCGGTGCGGTGGAGGGTGAAGTTGGAGGCGCGGAGGGTTTGCTGCACGGTGTATTCGTAGTGGGTGCCGATGTAGGTTGTGCTGTGCGGGGCGAGGGCGGTTCGGGTGGTGTAGGTGAGGAAGCTTGAGAGGTTGGTGTGGGCGTTTGGGGTGGGGGTGGGTGGTGTGGGAAGTTTGAAGAGGCGTTGGGTGAAGGTGTGGATTGTTTTTGGTCGCGAGGTAGGGGAGATGTGGTGGATGGGGGAGGATAGGGAGAATGGGGAGAGGAGGGGGCGGAGATGTCGGTGTATTCGCATGTTTGATGTTGGTCAAGAATGTTGGTAGGTAGATGAGTTTGTATAGAGAAAAGGTTGAAGTTGAAGTGAGCGGATGTTGTATGTTCGGAGATTAGGCCGACCGCTCACTGTCTTATCGCCGGCCGCGCTCTCTCTCTCTCTCTTTTTCTCCGCATCGCATCCTCATCCTCCTCCTCCATCTTCCATCCACCTCAACACAACTTGCGCTCTCCCCCCCACACACCTCCAATTCACCAACAGCCACCATGGCCGACATACTCACCCAACTCCAAACATGCCTAGACCAAGTACGTCCCAAACAACCCACCCCAATAACATACCGTTCCACAATCCCAACCAACTAACGACCTGCCCACCCAGCTCGCAACCCAATTCTACGCAACCCTAGGCTACCTAACAACCTACCACGACAACACGCCCGCAACCCCACCCGCCAACGAACCCACCTCTGCGCCCGCCCTCGCCAAAATGCCCCGAAACTCAACCGCCCCGCCAGCCCCCGCCTCCGCCCCAGCAGCAGCCGTAACAGCAAACGCCGCCACCCAAGGCTCCCCCCCGCCCCAGCCCCAACAACCCTCCTCCACCACCACCAATCCCGACGGCACGGTAACGGATCCCACCCTGCCCCCCGAGCCCGACTCCCCGCGGACGTTCGCCGCTCGCCAGCGCGAACTCGCCCGCGACCTCGTGATTAAGGAGCAGCAGATTGAGTATTTGATTTCTGTGCTGCCGGGGATTGATTCGAGTGAGGCGGAGCAGGAGGGGAGGATTCGGGAGCTGGAGGGGGAGTTGCGGGGTGTTGAGAGGGAGAGGGAGGAGAGGGTTGCGGAGTTGAGGATGTTGAGGGGGAAGTTGGAGGGGGTGTTGGGGGCGGTGCAGGTGGGGATTTACGGGGAGAGGGCGTAGCTTTTTGGTTTTTGTTTTGATTTTGGGGGTTTTGATGGATTGTTTTGATTTATGGTGGAGAGGTTGGTTGGTTTGCGTGGAGTTAGGTTTGGGTTGATTTGGGTTTGAGCACATCATTCAAATATTTTGAAAAGTACACCCAGCTAGGCGCATAATAACGAGTTCGCTACAATAAAAGAAAAGCACAGTGTAATATCAAGTTGAGATCAGACCGAAACCGTCTTGTATATGGACTTGCGTCCTCATGTATCATCATATACCCATAGCTTATAGCCAATGAATATCCGCCGTCAAAGTAAACCAGTGTATAGATCGCGTGAAGGATAGAACCAGACCAGATCAGAGAGATTACTAAAATAAAATAAGAAGAAAGAACAGAAAAATAGAATAAGGAAGGGAGAAAACGCCAATAATGACTGGGTATCAGAATCCGTGTCGTCCGTCATGCCACACAAGCCGTGCCATGCTCTGAAAAAAAAAAAAAAGAATCAATAGACGATAATGCAAAGCATAAAACAAGGGGCAACAAAAGAAGAAAAAAAGAAAACATAAAAAATTTTGAAACAAGAAGAAAGAGGATCATTTGAATAACCCCCGATATTCCCGCATCCGCTGCTCCTGCACCTCCTTCTTATCGAGCTTCCCCCGACCCATACTCAAATCCGCCAACTGCTGCTTCTTGCGCGCCAGATCGTAGATCTTCTCCTCGATGCTGTCCTTCATGATGAACTGGACGCTGGTGACCTCGCGCGTCTGGCCGAGCCGGTGAATGCGGTCGACGGCCTGCGCCACAGCGGCTGGGTTGTACTGCGGTTCCATGATGTAGACGTGCGATGCGGCCGTGAGGTTCAGGCCGACGCCGCCGGCGCCGATTGTGGCGAGGAGGATCGTGATATTGTCGTTGCTGTGGAATTCGCGGAGGGCTTTGTTGCGCGCGGCGAGGGTCATCGTTCCGTCGAGGCGGGTGAATCCGGTCATGTCGTTGTCTTTTAGGGCTAGCTCGATGAGGTCGAGGTGTGAGGTCCATGAGGAGAAGACGACGCTTTTGATGGGGGGTTCGTTGGAGTCGAGGTTCTTGCTTTCCTCGGCGGTCGCTTGGAGGTGCGAGAGGAGCGCTTTTGTTTTCGTGTGTGGGCCTTCGTATTCGCCGAGGGTTTTGCCTTGTCGGCGGCTTTGTTTGGCTTGGGCTTCGTTGACCTCGTAGTCCTCTAGGCCGGCGAGGGTGATTGTTGAGTAGGAGGCTGGAATCCAGCCGTCGCAGACTTGGCACTTGATGTCGTATTGCGAGGAGTTGGCTTGCGCGTCGAACGCTTGCTTCCAGCCCGAGAAGCAGTCCGGGCAGAGGACGTCGAAACAAGGCAGGACGATGGCCATTGGGGCTTTCCTGTCCGTCGAGCCGTTGTCGCTGCCGGGCTCTTCCAGGCGCGTCTGGCACATTGCGCAGAGATCCGCCGAGGATTCCTGCATCAGCGTGAATATCTCGTACGCTTTCTTGTCGCTCACTCCGCGGGTGTCGTTCCCCCCGCCCTCTTCGAGGTCGATCGCGTCGTGGACGCTCAGTCCTTTGATCCGTTCCCGGTCTTCATGGTCTAGCAGCTCCTTGCCGTGGGCGCTGATCTGTCGCAGGATCATCATCGCCTTAAGGATATGATGGTACATCCGACCCTTCATTTTGGTTTTGTCCTCGCCTGCGATGACCCTCATCATCACGTTAGATTCCTTGCGGAAGAATTCGTGTAGCTGCTTCTCGGACTCGGAGAAGGGCAGGGTGATGATCTTGTCATTCCGCGCGGGGATGTCGATCTTGTCTTTGACCCGGCGTAGAGTGAAGGAGTCGACCAACACCCGCAGGCTCGCCAGGACAGTGGCATCCCCCGTTTTGAACCGGCTGAGGATGTGCATGCCGAATCGCGCGCGGTCATCGTAGGGGAAGAGCCCCAGGAACTTGGTGACGGAGAACAGATCGTCGAGGCGATTTTGGATGGGCGTTCCGGTCACCGACCACTTGCGTTGCGACTTCAGCTTGAAGATGGCTTGCGTCTGCGCGGCGCTTTGCTCCCGAATGGTATGGGCTTCGTCCAACACGATCCGGAACATGTTCATCTTGGTCAATGGGCTCATGCCGCGCTTCGACCCTCGCCCGGAAAGTTCGCTGAGCACGATACTGTACGTTGTAATGACCAAGTCGTACTGGGAGAGCTCTTCAACATCGGTCGTTCTCGACGAGCCGTGAAAAACATAGTACGATACCGCATTCTCCCGCAAGTGCTCCTTGATCTGGAATACCCAGTTGTTGACCGCGCTCAGCGGCACTACCAAGAGGGTGGTCTTCGTATTTCGTATCCCGGGCAGGCTGCGTACCAAGTCCTGGGGCGGAATCATCTTCGCCCACTCCGCTCCTTCGGACAACGACGAAACCACAAGAGACAGTATACTGAGAGTTTTCCCGAGACCCATCATATCCGCTAGCAAGCCTCCGAGAGCTTGGGGCGGTTCCTCATCAGTCACGGTGCCGCTGATGATCTCACGGTAGCGCCTGGCGCCGTTGGAACGGAATTCCATCCTCCACAGTGAATTATTGTCCTTCTCATCACGTCCAAACTTCCGAGGCTTCTCCTTTTCCGTCATGAACCAGAGAGCCTGCTTCTGATGGCGAAGCAGAGGCGTCGACAAGAGGTTGGACGGCTCCATCTCGGGCAGGTTCTCTGCACTTTGCAGCTGGTCGAACATTTTCATCACGGCGTCGTTTACTTCCTCCGCTGTGCGAACCTCACAATTGACTCCCGTTCGGCCCCTTGCCGCAGCCGCAGGCATAAATGCCGTATTTGCACGCCGTCTTTCCGCATGAGGGTTGAACAGCATGACTCCCTTCTCCCAGGAAAACGGAGTTCCCAGCCATACGTTCTGGTGACCGAGATGCTTGCCGATGAGCTCTGCGTCCTTGCGTAGGCCGTAAAGATTGATAGACGCTCGGTATAGTGCGGAACACGGCGCCCACGGCCGTTCATTTGGGAGCTTCTTCCGCATATCTAGCCGGGCCGTGATCTCTACCTTCACCGCAGGGGAATCGATAATTGGAACAATGGCCGCTGCCGTCTTGGCGTCAACGGCACCGAATATCTTGCCGTGCGGGTCAGAGACGTCAATTCGATTATTCCCCTGGTTCGGCGTTCTATGCACCCCGAGTTTCATGGACGGCCAGTCATGCGCCGACTCCCCAAGTATACCGTGGGCCCCGGGTTTAGGTACCAATTGCGCTTGGACCATCGCGTTCTCCAACTTGCCGTAGCACACCCTTTGGAGACTGAGATTGTTGGACCCTGTGACCTGTATATCGTCGTCGGTATTGGCTGCGGCCGACTCTGCAGATTGTCGTGATCAGTATACCCCTCAATTGGCCGCGCATCGAATGTGTTCCATACCTAGAGTCAAGTCCACAACATTAGGTGAAGGTATCGGTGAGTCCGACTTCGATTGATCTTCCTTCATCCATTTCCCCAAGTCCGTGTTGCCACTCGTGGAAAACTCTCTGTTCGTTTGCGCTGGTGTCTCTCCCAAGTCCTTCTCCGTCTTCAACTTTTTGTACACTGGGTGCACACGCCGCTCAACACCGTACATATTCTCGATGAGGCTCCCATGACGCGCTTCAATATCCCCGTCGACCTGACTGGAACCACGCTTTGCATCACTGCCATCCTCCAGATCATTACTACTAGCAAACTGCACATCCACAACAGGCATTGCTGGAGCCGTTCGCGGGGGCGATACTATCCGACTATTCCGACTACTCGAGCGACTCGACGGCGAGCGGATCTGCGATTTCGGGCTAGGTCTGCGAGAGGAGCGTCGCTTTGGGGGGCTGAGTAGACGATGCGCCGCGGAAGCCGTACCTGGCGGGGCAACGGTCGGGGTGGTAGATGCGCCGGTGTGGGGTGGTTCAGGGTCCTGCTGTTCTGGGACTTGTAAAAATGAGCGTTCTGAGTCTGAGCAGATAGGGTCTTCGGGAGGGGAAGGGCAGCGCATCCACGACGGGGAGGTAAAGAAGCTAGACTCGTTGTAACTTCCCCAACTGATGGCTGCGCTGCGGTCTGGATCTGGTGATGCGGGAGAGAGGTCTTGCTCGTTACCGTTCTTCTGGGCTCGTTTCCTGTAGGCTCGTGGGTCCAAGAGCATGGCCGCGTTGGATGCCATGATTCATTCGATGTATATGCACGTAGCCGAGACGAGACCTGCAACTCGAACGGCGTTTGCACGTGAAGGGTCACAACCGATGGTAGAAAGTGCACGGAGGATCCGGGGGCATAGGAGGCGTCTTGAAGATGTAGAGCGAAAGAAGAAAGGAGTCTCCAAGACCTGGCAGATGTGATTTATCGTGGTCTCCGCTAATAGAAAGCACAGCCGAGCTGGAACTGAGGGCTCGCGGGTGGGAAAGGTGAGTTGAGCGAGGGATCCGTCACTTCACGCCACTCTCATCGCGCGGGTCGCGACAGACGGTGACGACCTCGAGAAAGAAAGACAGAAATCAGTGATGGACTGGTGAGGCGTCGCCAATGATACCTTGGAAGGAATCCGCCTCAGAAGTGAGAGAGAGGGGGCACTGATGAAAGAGCGAGTGAGGGAGTTGGGAGGAGTGAGAGTATGCAGCGGATTCCGAACTGCCAAGAAGCCGATAAGATAAGCCAGCCCTTGCGATCGCTTATCAAACCACTCGTCACTTCGACCTCACAGCTGTATAGGGTTTCGAGGCTTGATATACAGCATTTATATCGGCTACTGCACAGTGTGTTGTTGTTTATGATAGGCACTGGTGCTTGAGAGATACCTTTCTATGCTGGTTCATCCTGCTCTAGTACTGCCCATTGAGATACCGTAAGAGCCCAGAAGATATCTTACTCTGTTCATCAAGAACGATTACCAGTCCCTCAGGGTCAAATATGGTAATTAGTAGAAACAGGCACATAAAGTCTATATATACAACATGGTGGCTTTTCCCAACAAGA